TCAGAAAGTTTACAGATGCCTTTCACCTGCTCAAACATAAAACCAAAAATCATCTTTAGCTGACTTATGCACACCACACATTCCACGCATGTGTTAATGCAGATGAATACGTTACCTTTAAAAGTTTATGTGTTTTCAGAACAAAAGGAGTAGACACCAACGAAGACAAGTAGCCCAGGTGATCCAGCCTCCCAGAATGCCTCTGTTACAGTTTCCTCAAAATTCTGCATCTAAAACAACTTCAAAGCTGCTAGCTGAGATGGTCCAGCCTCACAGACTACTACTAGTCAAGAATTCAGATAAGCCCTATACTCTCCTATTATACAGAGACTGGACAACAAAAGATACAGCTAACTTTCCCAGGACTTGACCATATCTCCATATTCTCAGGGTCCCTGACAACAGGAAGTCATTTTAAGAACACAAGGCCCACATTCCCAAGAGGTGGGGTGAATGGTTTTGGGTCATTCATTGGATGTTTGTCATCATTTAAAGGACTTGGTTACAAGTTGCTATTGGTCATAGTCAGGAAAAAAGCTGAACAATGGAGATTAGATTCAGGGATCTCTTTCTGAAGGGGAAAGTGAGGAATATAGCACAGAAATGATTAGATAAAAGGGTGGATCGTCGAGTATACTTTTGAACAATCACTAGTCTCAATATTTTATATTTTTTGTATATTAATACAAATTTAAGGTTATTTTTAACATACTCTATATATGTCTCTACTCCTATTTAAAATATTTTTGTATATGGATACAAATTTAAGGTTATTTTTGTCATACTGTATATATGTTTCTACTCTTGTTTAAGGTATTGTACCTATGCAGCTCATTTAAAATGTAATACCTTGTTTAAGGTATTGTACCTATGCAGCTCATTTAAAATGTAATGTATAATTCAGAAATACAGGTTAGTATTAGTCATCTCTAATAATCAAATCTGTGACCATGTTAGGTATGTTTTCAAGATTAAACAGAGATATATTTTAGATAGATAGGGGTCTATATCTAAACACTTCAGATACTTACAGAATATGGCATTTAAGATGTTTTAATAACCTAAGACTTTTCGTGGCAGTGAGACACATCTACTCCTGGCAGCACCAATCTACTTCAGAGAGGATGATGGGCACTGAAGAACCTCCATGAGGAGTTTGCTTCATTTATGGCAAAGTTAGTCACTGGGCAAAGAAGCTGTCCTTGCCTCAACTGCTGACAGTATGCTGTCCAAAATGGACAGGCTGGATACAAAATAAGGACACTACCAAACTTTGTCAAGACAAAGTAGGTCAGTCCCTCAAAATTCCTGCTTCACAGTAAAGTCTGTCAGGTATTCTAGGCCTGTAGGCTGAAGATGGATGCCCCCAACTGCTGTGGGATAATCCCTTGGTACACTGTGAAGATTTGACACTTGGATTGGTTTGGAAAGGGGTTAAATGGCCAACAGCTAGGCAGGTAAAGATCAGCTTGCAGACAGAAAGAGGGCACAGAGGAGGGCAGATTCCCCAGCCAGATACCAAGGAAGTAGGAGATAAACATGCTGTGCTGAAAAAGGTACTTCCACGTGGTAAAATGTAGATTTAAAATATGGGCTGATTTAAGTTGAAAGAGCTAGTTAGTAACAGGCCTATGTTTTCATCCAAGCATTTATAATTAATAATAAATCTATGTGTGGTTATTTGGGAAGTGAACTGGTGGGACAGAAAAACCCACCTACACCCAACATTGCAGAGGAACCTTGGGGTGACTGTCCAGGCAGCCGGATGTCTCTGTCCTTTCTTAGTTTTGGAAGTTGTTGGCTCTGCACTTCCTGTTTACTCAGGTAATGTTATAGCCTTCTTGGGTCTCTGATGGGGTTAAAGATTAGATATTTAGAGTTACAGTTTTCCTTAGTTATGATAGAAAGTAAATTAGGTACAAAACTTTGGACTCACCAAGATAAGATAGATAATAGAATATTTTCTCCTAATTTGGCAAATACTAATGAACTAGACACTGTGAATATATTTCTTACTTGATAATTATTCTTATTATATATAATTTCACATGGTTAGAGTTAAAACCTTTCCTTTTTAGACAAAAAAAATGGAAATGTTGTGGGAGAATTGTTCATGCAGCCAACCTCCTGTGCCAATGAAGCCACCTTAAATCAAAGCACGAAGTCAGCGATTGGTTGACCAGGATTAGCCTTAGAGTTTTTGGAGGATTTAGGAGGTCTGCCAGAGAGGACAGGGAGAGAGGAAAAAGTATTCCAGGGCTGGTGGAACAGAAAAAAAAGTGGAGAGAGAGTCAGCCAAATGACTCTCCTCTGTCCTTGCGTTTACCAGGTCTTTATCTCCATTGCTGACTCCTGAGTTTTCATTACACCGATTATGTAATCATTTCAAAGAGCTGTCATCGTTTTCAGCTGCAGATGCACAGGTTGAGCCTGCCAGGCTCCAGTGGTCAGACAGACGGCCCTCGTTAAACTAAGTGGGTTACAGAACAAGACAGAGGCATGAATGGAAGCGGGGATGTCGGGGCTGGGCGAGAGATGAGGGGCTCGGGTATCTTTTGAGTACTTGTCTTGGTCTTGTTTATTTGTTCCCTGTGACCTCTCCAGATTGAGATGCCTGAGAAAACACAAAAGCAAACAAAATTGCAGGAATTAATATACATCTTTCAACAACGGTCTCAATTCCTCCACAAAAAGACACTAACAGATTTGATTAGAAAACAGAATCCATCTTTTCACTGCGGCCAAGAAACATACCTCACCATCTCATTGACACAGGAAAGGGCTTTTTGAACATGATCCTGGTAGTGTAGCCATTATGGCCAACAATTAATAAATGGGACATTAGAAAACAAAATCCTTTTGTACAGCAAAGCACACCAGCATTTGAGTGAAGAGGCAGCCTACAAAATATGAAAAAAAACTTTACCAACTATATATACAAGGATTAGTATCTAGACTACACAAAGAACTCAAAAAACTAAACATCAAGAAAATAACCCAACTAAAGATGAGGCATAAACTTAAGTAGAAGCTGAGTCTGGTGGTACCTGTCTTTAATCCCAGCACTAGGAAGGCAGAGGTGGGCAGATCTCTGAGAGTTTGAGGCCAACCTTGTTTATATAGTGAGTTCCAAGACAGCTAGGGCTGTCTCAAAAAAAAAAAAAATTAATTCTCAGAGGTTGAACTACAAATGGCTCTGAAATGCTTTTTAAGATTCTCAACAGCCTTTGCAATCAGGGATATGCAAATTAGAATAATTCTTACTCCAGTCAAAATGGCTAAGATTATAAAAAAATTAAAAAAAAAAACAATGACAAATTCATGGATATGGAGAAAGGGAGCACTATTCCCTGCTGGTGGGAGTACGGACTGGTGCAGCTACTATGGGAAACAGTGTGGCATTTTCTCAAAAAGCTAGAAATCGATTTGGCCCATGATTCACCAAACCACTGTTGGGCGCATACACCAAGGACTGCATATCCTCTTCCAGACAGACCTGCTCATCCAAGTTCACTGCAGCTAATCTCACAGTAGCCAAGAAATGGAAACACTCTAGATTTCCATCACTGATGAATGGATCATGAAAATGTGATACATTTATGCAACGGAATATTACTCAGGTGTTAAGAAAAATGAAATCGTAAAATTCTCAGGAAAATGGGTGAAGCTAAAAGCAGCCATTCTGAGGGAGGTAACACAGACCCAGAGAGACAGGCAGTACATGTCTTCTCTCATTCGTGAGTAAATCCTCCTATATGTATGTTTCATTTGGACTCCCCATAGAGGTCAGGAAATTAGTAAAAGGCTATGGCGAGAGTTTCAAGGAAAGAGAGCTAGAACACGGTGGCAGAAAGCCTTAAAGGGGGTTAGTGGAGAGGGAAGGGGTTACTTGGGGGAGGAAACGGGAGAGCAGAGTGGAGGAGGGAATCCAGGCAAAGAGAACTAACACTGATTATCTCCTGAAAACTCCATATGGAAATGACCTTATTACTGCAGAAGTACAGCCATTATTACTGTAGAAGCTCCCCTATGAAATTTAAATGGAGCCACCCTCTAACAGGGTAGCAAAGCCCTCACTAAACACCACCGGCAGACAAATAAAAAGCCCAGTGCCAGGAGTGGGTCACCTCTTTTAGCAACGTTGGGTAGTGAGGTCCCATAGACCTCCAAACATTCCAGGCTACTGCCAATGCTCTTGGTTTCCCTCTGGACCTTGACGGTGACGCCCTATTGCAAAGACACCACATCCCTGAGTCAGTGGACAGCAAGGATGCAGGGAAAGGCCATGCGCCACGCAGGCAGGCAGAGCAGGAACATGCTGCCATGCTGCACAGGTCATGGGATGACTCGGGTCTTCAGATCTAGAGGATGAAAGGAAAGTCCTCTAGAGCCTCCAGAGCGGTCACAGCCCCGCCACACACTCATTTCAGACTGCTTCCTCCAGAGCCAGGGTAGACAAAGTTCCTGCTTTAAGGATCCCAGCTCGTTACAGAAGCTGTAGGGAGTTGGCACTGCACAGGTTTTGACTGCTGCTGGTTTCTTAATCGCTGTTTATCACTGTGGATATTTCCTCAATCATGGGTGAAACAAGTTAGTATCATGGAGAGAGTAAAAATAACACTGTAAAAATAGCTTCTTTGTGAGCCAGTTAACTCACAGCTAGAGGAACTGAAGTTCAAGGGAAGGCTGTGGAAGACCACAGCTGCCCTGGCCAGTGAGTCCCTTTTCTTCTCCTGGGTGGCAGGAGGCTTGGGGCTGTACATGGTGTCTACCAGCCCACACAAAGAGCAGAGTCACGCTTGGCCAACAGGAAGGCACTCCCTTCCCACTTCTTCCCTCTGCCTCCTGATTTGGCCATAGCAAATGTCCACTTTGCATCCTTTGATCGTTCCAGAAAAGCAAGAATTTTGAAAGATCAATGTGTCGTGTTTTCCAAGCCAGGCCACTGGACATCCCAGTTCTCCATTTGCTACCCACAGTCCTTACCCCTCCTCCCTCAGGTGGGCTGTGCAGCAGCAGGCCAGTATCCCAGCCGGCTAAGAGCAGAAAGAGATCTGTGGAGCTGGTGTGCACAGGACTGGCATCTGCCAGAGCCAGCATCATGGTGCAGTCATGGCCTGGGCAGGTGCGTAGTCTTGGACAGGGAGCGTGGGTTGGGCCTCAAAAGCCATGGTGTGTGAGGGTGTGCATGGCCTGTGGCTCCCTCATACTTACTGCGCATGGAAGCAAAAGGGCGCAGGGGATGTTGGGTTCATTCCACTTGTCCATGCCTCCTAGCCTGACTACCCTTTCCAGCCCAAGAGTGTTTGTGTTGTAAGGGGAAGTTCTTCCACAGGCCTGTTCCTGGAAATGCACTTGGTGAGCCCCTGCGCTGGATGTCTTTTTCCTCCTGAGTATTTAGGTTCAAGAAGCAGTACCCAAGGGTCACCTTCCCTAACCTTGTATTGGTTGTCCTCTGAGAAAGCATTCTGAGGGCCAAGAACGTGGGTGTTCTTATAAAATAAAACATTATTTTATATATTTATATCATGTGTATTTATAATTTATTTTATTGTATATGTATACATGCCTGTGTGAGTTTATGTGCACCACATGCATCCCAGTGCCCACAGTCACCAGAAGAGGACATAAGATCCCTTGAATGGAATCACAAGCTGTCATGAGGTCCCCGATGTGAGCGCTGGGAGTTGAACCCAGGGCCTCTGTAAGAGGGGCAAGCACTCTTAATCACCACAGTCTCCCAGTCTTTTCCTGCAAACTTCATGAAGATTTTTCTTTTTGATTAAAAAGAAATACAAGGTCACCAGAAAGGTGGAAACAAATTCTTTGAAGGATTCTGCCAGCCCTAGGTCTCCAAGACTGCCGGAACATTCTTAGCCTCTTGTGGCAAGTGGCAGGTTCATAAGTCATTGGGTCCAGAGGGACCAGATGTCAAGCCCATTGGAAGATGGGGTCTCCTGCCCAGCCCTTCCATCTGGGCTCTTCCTAGCCCTGGGGTGGGGTCTCTCCCCACTCCACAGAGGAGCTTTTCCTCTGTATTCCTCACTTGCCCGCTGTTTTCCCATAATCTTCCCAAGTCCACCCCATTCTGTTGAGACTCTAGAGCATCCCCATAACTGTGAAAACTTCCATCAGCTTCCGGGATCAGGCCTGGCCTAGAGCAGGCCCGGGGCTGTCAAGTCTAGGTGAAGAGGTGAACAGTTTACTTATACTTGAGTCTCCTCTGGAAGGAGGAAGCTTGATTTGTATGACTCTGATTTTACAGGCCACCTGCACATGAGGCCTGGGCCTGTGGCCGTGAGAATGGTATCCTGACCTCGGCTTCTTTTCTTGGCTTATCAGGTGTGATGACTCTATTGATGGTCCAGTGGGGTAAGTGACACCTGTTTTTTAGGCCAGTACTTGCTCCCTCAGCCCATCCCCGTTTCTGCTATACTCCCCCATCCCAGCCACTACACACACATGTGCACATACACACACATACATGCACACATGCATGCACGTATACACACAAACAGACACACCAACACTCTGTTTCTGTTATATTCCTCCATTCCAGCACATGTGCACACAAAATCACTGATGGACACACACACCCCAAGAGCTCTTGCTGGACCAGGAGAACTAACTTCCAAGCTCTGCCCCCTGCAATTCCCTAACAGCCCCACCATTCCTTCTTCCAAGAAGATTTTTGCCTTCTCACCCACTAGCTGACCCCTTCCAGGCCATAGGATCATCTGTGTCCTCCTCTCTGTGTTTCCCAAGATCCCTTGCTCCCATATCTCCTCTGGTAGCATCTGCACACTTTCTAGTGTGTATTGCAGTTTCTATAGCTCTTTTCCCCCACAGACTCTGAGCCCAGGGCTACGGGAAGCCAAGTCTAGCCCTGTGGACCCACCCCATAGCTCAGTGAGGACATTTGTGCTTGCACGTTCCGGTGGGTGTGGAACTGAAGAGAGTCAGAAGGGGGTTCTCACATCAAACAAAAAAGATCTCAGATCTCCCAGACATCTTAACAACTTAAGACTCCCGAGTCCCTTTCCATCCCACCTGCTTGCTGGGCATCAGTGGTTCAGGGATGCTGGCCTCTCAGGCTCTTCTTCTGAAGATACCAGGCATGCTAGGTTTAGAACAGGAGCCCAGAGAGGTAGTGAGGCGAGAGATTTCTCCAAGAGCTGAAGGAAGCCCTGGCCGCTTATAGGCTACATCAGCTTGGCACAGGGAGAAGACTGTGGACCAGGAATTAATGTCTGCAAGCACCCTGAGCAGAACTCAGCCTGCGTCAGCACTCAGCCATGAACTCACACAAGCTATCCTACAAGACACTGTGTGGGCGGATGACCCCACTTCAAGAGGAGGAAGCTGATTATATAAGCAGTAGGTTGGCATGTGAGAGGGCCTGCTTTACCTCAGCGCCATATTGACGCTGTGGTGTAAAATGCACTTGGAGCATCTGATAGGCAGTGGTGACACATGACTCCACATGACCTCCTGATTCTTTCCTTCATGCTCTGGGGTGTCTTTCCTGCCTGGATCTCCTCTTTCTTCCTTTAGCTATGAGGAGCTCCCCAATCCTTATATACTCCTTCTAACAAGATCCATTCCTGGTTTATTTCCATCAGAACCACCGACTACCCAAACGTTCCTCTTTCAGAGCTGACCATGTGCTCAGGGTTGGGTGTCCATGAACTGAATTCTCACTCACAGTCGCCTTACACCCCGTCCCCTCCTCCACCTTCTCCCTGACACTGGACACACAGAGGGGTACAGTCAGGAGGTTGTAAAGAGATTCTGTTGGAACAAAAGGAAGTCCCAGGGCCTCGACACCAAGCTCACCACTCCACCAAGTCCCTGGCATGAAATATTACCTTGTGTGTCCCGGAGCTGTTCAGGAGGAGACCCCAGAGTCCAGATGGAGTAAGACCAAACAGGACTTGGACCCAGAGTTTGTTTTGACTGATTCAGGGATGGAGACCACAAATCTTGCTCTCTGATGCCCTGGTCCTCACTCAGGGCTGCTTTTCAAGGGACCATCAGCGTTAGCCCACTGGGCACAGGGCCTCCCCTGCAGCCTTTCACAAGTTATAAGGACGCAGGACACAAGCATAATATAGGCGCTTTACCCGAACCTTCGCCATGACATTGACAAATGTAGGCTCTCTACAAGGAATAACAAATAAATGCAAAGTGCTCTAATGGAAGATTAAAGAAACATGAGCCAGGGCCCGTGACTGGAAGGCCTCTCTCTGCCGTTCACACATTTGCATCTTAATTGGCATTGTGAAGTATTCCCAGCTGTGTTCTGAAGGTTCCACTCTCTTCCTTTGGCAAAAGAACGTGTCATGTTAACTCCCTTTGGGCCTTGTGATGGGGCCGCCTAGGGCTGCCGAGCGTTTCAGGCCCTGGAGCAGATACTGAAGCCTGTCACTCAGGCCTTGGCCCGAGGGACCTGGACTCTGAACCTTGGTTGTCAAGGGGTCAGGAGACCAGGATCTGAGCACCCTGCTCTGCCCTCTCAGGAGTCACGCTGGCTGAGAAGTCTCCCAGGCTCGTGAACCTCGATTTGCACTGGGAATGAGCTTGGTAATGAGGGTCCTGCCAGTGACGGGTGGCCTGTGGGCCCATGACTAACCTATACAAACGCTTTCCTAACTGGGAGGTGCTTGCCCAAACAAAAGCAAGCTGTACTTCTGTCCAGCTCTCAACCCTCAGCTGGGTAACTAAAAACTCACGGGCTTTATCCACCTGGGGCGGAGACCGCTAGTTCCCAGGGCCTCTCTGACAGACTTTAATCCCCACCCCATTACCCATGAAGCTCTGCTGCAAAACTGGTCTGCTACTATACCAGCTGGGCCCAGTACCGACTGGGGGTGGGAAGGGGGGGGTGGAGTAGGGAGTGGGGTGGGGGATGGGGATGGGAGGTGGGGGGCAGCGCGATTCCTACCCAGGGACATAGACCCCAGCCTGTGTACCCATCTCATCTATGCCTTTGCTGGCATGGACAGTCACCAGCTCAGCTCTGTAGAGTGGAACGACAAACTTCTCTACCAGGAGCTGAACAGCCTAAAGAAGATGTGAGGCGAACGGGAGGAGGGGTGACAGGTGGACAGATTATCCCTCTCCCATCCAGAAACTATCCTTGCATCGACCTGCACCCCCGCCCCACCCCCACCCCCCACCACGTGTTTCTCTCTCTCTCTCTCTCTCTCTCTCTCTCCCTCTCTCTCTCTCCCCCTTCCCCCTACCAGCACACTCACCATCCCCGTGCTGGTATGGACGCGATCGGGGTAGATGAGAGCCATCAAGAAGGCCAGTATGGCATTTACCTAAACAAGATCCGAATTGCAGAACTGTTTTCTACTCTGAGCAATTTCCCTCCTCTTGGGCATGCTCTAAAAGTGGACCCTGGTCACTTACTTCCGGAGTTCCTTGGGAATGTGCTCCTGTGTAATGCTGCCCCAGTTAGACCCAGGGTCCTCTTTGTCACACACATATGTTTGTTGTCCCAAGCAACATCTCCAAACGCACTCAACGCAGCTGTGTACACGGGAGTCAGCGCATGCTCAGACCTGTCCCTACTGTTCCTCTCACCTCAGCTCTTGTCCATCCTACACGCTGGTGAGATGAAGCCTCGCACATCTCTTGTCTTTTCAGGAACCCCAAGCTGAAGACTCTGTTAGCTGTCGGGGGCTGGAACTTTGGTACCCAGAAGTGAGTGGACTCGGACGAGAGGGTGGCAGAACCTTTGGAAGGGAATGTGGCCCATGGCTGACAGAGCCCTCCTAAGGAAGGTCGGGCAGGCCAAAGCATGCCAAGGGGTGGGGTCCTGGACCATGGGATTTTTTTTTCACCCCGGTTCTAGGCCCTTATCAGGTTAGGACGGCAGTGGTTCAGGCTTGGCTCCAGGTTGCATAGACCCAGCCTTATCAGAAAGCCAGAATCTAAAGCAGCAGAGAGTTCTGACCACTCCAGCCTCAGTTTCCTCCTCCATCAAGTGGCGGAAGAGGGGACCAGGGACTCCAGACAGCGCACAGCCTGTTTTCTGAGTGCTTGAATAAGATATCTTGTCAGCGAGATTGAGCTTGCCTGCCAAATTATTGTCCACATCTGTAATGGTTTTTTTTTAATTTATGAAAATAGTGGAGCTAAAAATATCCTAAAGATCTAGAATATATTGTTCCCAAAACTTTATATAGTTAAAAAATATTTTGGTGCTAAGAGACCTTTTGAGAATTCGATGGATGTTATGACTCAACTTCCCAAAATAACACATTTTTTATTAACATTGTTAAGGTTTTTAGCTCAGTATTCCCAGAGACATGGACCTAAGAATTAACAGCATTAATTTAATTATGTTAGAAGTTAATAAAAATAGAATCAGTTTGAAGGAAAAAAGTTAAAATCCTTAAAAATTCCAAGACTTCTGTGGGGAGGGGGGTCTACCAAGGAGGGAAGAGGGGGAAAGATGTCCCCTGGGGCCAGTGTAGAAATTCAGAAGATCTCAAAGGTTAGTGCCAGCACATAGCCCTCCACTTAACCTGCCAGGGAGCCAACCAAGGGGTCCCCAGTTTCCCAGCTTCTTCCTGGTCTCTCTGCTTGTCCCCCTTATGGCTCCTTAGAAGTCTGTGCCTTTTCTTCCAGTCTCATGGAGAGTAGGGGGTGGGGGTAGTTCTGATTGACAGTGGTCTCTGGTCTAGCCCCAGCCAGGCCACACCCCTTCCATCACGTCACAGGTTCACAGATGTGGTGGCCACGGCCAAACTCAGCCACAAGGTTCCAGCACAGGGAACCATCACGGTTTTGATGGACTTGACCTTGACCTTGACTGGGATTACCCAGGAAGTCAAGGGAGCCCCACAGTAGACAAAGAGAGATTCATGACCTTGTTGCAAGTATGGCTGGGTGTGACTAGAGTCACCTAGTCTGCCAAGCACAGTGCTTGAGTGCTGCTGTGTCCCCAGGGCCAGCAGCTTCAGACTCCAGAGTGTGAACACCTATGGGTGGGGGTGGGGGTGTGACAGGGTGGAGGGTCCTGCTGCTCCTGCCTCTGCCTTCACTCCGCATTCTTCCCGCAGGACTTGGCCACGGCTTTCCAGGAGGAAGCCCAGAGCTCAGGGAAGGAACGACTCCTTCTGACTGCAGCTGTACCCACTGGACAAGACCATGTGGATGCTGGCTATGAGGTGGACAAGACTGCTCTGTGAGTCTCAGGCAGTCTACGCAGACCCCATGTCCTCCAAGGCTGGAGAGGTCCAGGGTGCTTGAGCTCCTCGGAAATGGAGCCAATCTCTGCCTGCAAAATGTGACTTTCAGTCAGGCGGTGATGGTGCACCCCTTTAATCCCAGCACTCGAGAGGCACAGGCAGGCAGATCTCTGGGTGTTCAAGGCCAGTCTGGTCTACAGAGCCAGTTCCAGGATAGCCAGGGCTACACAGAAAAACCTTGTCTTGAAAAACAAACAAATAAACAACAACAACAACAACAAAAGGATGTGGCCTTCAGATGCTCCCAGGTGTCTGGGAAGTAGTTTTCTGTATCTGCTGCTCGGTTATTCCAGATCTTTTTTGCAGGTGGGGGGGCGGTGGGGGTGTTTGTTCCTTTCTTCCTTGGGAACTCATAGTTAAAGAAAGAACACCCTTGGAGCAGAGAGGGAGAGCAAAGCCCTTAAGCATCTCCAAGAATATGGGAGGTCACATGTTAGCTCCACAGTGTGGTGCATGGAGCTGCAGCCCCTATGACACCTGAGAGCTGGTGCGTGCGTGCGTGCGTGTGTGTGTGTGTGTGTGTGTGTGTGTGTGTGAGTGTGTGTCTTTATTCCCAGCACTCAGGAGGTAGAGGCAGGAAAGTCTCAGTGAATCTGAAACCATCCTGCTCTGCACAGTGATCACCAGGCCACTACGTGGAGTGTGTGTGTGTGTGTATGGGGGGAGGCATTAGAAAGTTTGTTAGAAATGCAGCCTGCTGGGGGCTGGAGAGATGGCTCAGTGGTTAAGAGCATTGCCTGCTCTTCCAAAGGTTCTGAGTTCAATTCCCAGCAACCACATGGTGGCTCATAACCATCTGTAATGAGGTCTGGTGCCCTCTTCTGGCCTGCAGGCATACATGTAGACAGAATATTATATACATANCACACAGACAGAATATTATATACATAATAAATAAATATTTAAAAGCCAGGCGGTGGTGGCGCATGCCTTTAATCCCAGCACTCGGGAGGCAGAGGCAGGTGGATCTCTGTGAGTTCGAGACCAGCCTGGTCTACAGAGCTAGTTCCAGGACAGGCTCCAAAACCACAAAGAAACCCTGTCTCGAAAAAAAAAAAAAAAAGAAAAAAAGAAATGCAGCCTGCTGAGTAAGAGCCTACATTTTAGTGGGATTCTCGAGGGACTTGTATAATCCTAAAGCTTGGGAAGCACTGAGCTAAATTGCTTCCAAAGTGGCAAAATCAAACCAGCACAGAACAGTAAGCACTTGAGGGTGCCGGAGAGCCAGTAAGCAGGGGGAGGCCACCAAAGACAACAGCAGCCCCACAGTGCGAACAAGACTGGTCTAAGGGTGGCGGTGGAGAATGTCATGAACAGAGCCCGAAGGGAGCCTCCCACCCTATGCTGCCTCCCCACCCACACTAAGGGAAGCAGGGAGAGAGGCCCCGGTCGTCATCTCCCACCCATGTTCCCACTCTTCCTACTCCTCCTGCGGGAGCCTGGATTTCATCAACCTTATGGCTTATGACTTCCATGGCTCCTGGGAAAAGAGCACAGGACACAACAGCCCCCTCTACAAAAGGCAAGAAGAGAGCGAGGCAGCATTGGGGTTCAGTGTGGTGAGGGGTCAGTGGGTAAGACAGGGTCCTCTGTCCGGCAGGACCTGCTCAGTGGCCTCATTTGAACCCCAACCCCCTAATGAAAAAGAAATACAGGAAAGCCAAGCGAGACACCAAGGAACCAAGGTTTCCCTGGTGTCTTTGCCACTTTATTCTATCCTGCACTCTTGGGGGTGAAGCCTCACTTCTCGGCAGCATCTTAGATAACAGAGAAAGTCACTTTAATGACATCAGACACACGGGGGACCAATGGCGAAGCCTCCTTGGAACTTGGCTCTCCAGCCAATATGACTCCCACGTGTTTCACATGCTCATCCCTAGTCCAAGGTTGGTGATGCCAAGGAGAGAGTGTCACTCAGGGAGGAGCTGCCCAGCCTCAGAAAAGGCCAGGCTGGTCTTAGGCTACAGTTGTCTTTTTCTGCCCGACTCTTTCTCCTGAGAAGTCTGGATACTTTCCATAAGCCCGGTCTATAGCTACAAGTCAAGTTTCTAGAGAGACGGGGGAGGAAGGACCTCCTCTGCTGGAGCCAAGGCTCTACACGAGCATCCCACTCCTGCCCATCTTCTTTCAGTCCCACCTTAGACTCCTAAGCCCTGGGAGAGAAGCTGCAAGGTCCAATAGCCAGATTTGGAGCCTTGGAGAGCCATGCAACTGCTGACCAGACAAATAGTCACCAATAGTCCATTGTGTGCCAGGCAAAGTGTTTAGAATAAAACTAATACAAATAGCCATTTGAGTTCAAGGACGTAATGCATTTACCAGCATCTGCTAGAACCCCATTCTCAGGCAATCAGAACTAAGGTAAAGACAGATTGACCAGGCCCTCCTTCTCTATCTGGATGCCGCTGTGCAGCTCTGGCTGCAGAAGGAGACACCTGCCAGCAAACTGATCCTTGGGATGCCCACCTATGGAGGCTCCTTCACCCTGGCCTCTTCATCAGACAACAGAGTTGGGGCCCTAGTTACAGGGCCTAGTACTCCAGGCCCCTATACTATTTGAGGTGAGAAGGCCTTTACTATCCTGAGTATGGTGGAGGGCCAGGGGCTCCTGGGAGGTGAGAGGGCTTCTCCTGCAGTTGCTGAGAACAGGAGAGAAGCATGGAAAATTCTGGCCAAGGGAACTTCTTTCTACCCTGGCCATCTTGTTTCTATCCTGGAGCTCAGGTAACCGAAGGCTAAATCCACAGTTCTAGGCTACTCCACAGAACCTTTCATGTTCTCTAGGCTTCCCCAGATGGGTAGTTTTCAACCTCTGGTCTCCTCTTGGCATGAGGGAACAGGTAGTGTTAATCCCAAAGATTCAAGAAGAAAGACCACTGGCCCAAATAATCATTACCAAATTAATTAAAGTTTTTTTATTCGTGTACACAGGCTGCCTCCCCCTAAGGCAGGGTTCAAGAGACCTGGCAAAGATAAGGTTTTTATAGCTGTTCCCATATGGGGAATTTGCCAGGCAAATGGGTGGGGTTACAAGAACAGAACTTAAGCATACCAAGTTGGTCATAAAGCCCTCCTGAAACAAGATATGATTGCAAGGTGGTCATAACAAGGTAGCCATAGCAAGGTGGTCATAACAACAGGTGATCATAACAACCTTATTGAAACAAAGTCATGATTGTCATTTCCTGGAACAGGAAATACAGAACCATTTGTAGTTAAGATTACAGGTGGGGCATAACCCAATCCCTGAGAAAGAGAGTTTAATCATAAACAGGAATGAGCCCAATTTGTCTTTAAAAATGGGTTTTAAGCCTAACGTGGAGGCAAACCTGTTTATCAGTACCTATCAGTGTTCTTCTTCCTCCCTAACATAGCTCTGTTCATAGGTCTGCTCCTGGAATGGAGAACACAGAATTAAGGAACAGAAGGTGCCCTTTGTCTTCCAAGACAGTCAATGGGTGGGATTTGATGACAGGGAACGCTTCAGAGCTAAGGTGAGGCCCAGCCCCACTGATCTAAGGCCTGTCAATAACACTAGCCCCAGACTCTCTTCGTGGATGGGTGTTCTTGTAAGTGCCCAGCACTTCACCCTCTTCATGTGACCACATTTAAACACTTATCATCTGTTGATGAAGAAGAGGCACCATGGAAGGTGGGGATGTGGATCAGCGGTAGGGTGTTTGCCTGGCGTGTACAGGGTTCAATCCCTAGTACAGAGAAACATGCATGCATACTCATTCATAGTGTGTGTGTGTGTTTGTGAGAGAGAGGGGGGAGGGTGTGTGTGAGAAAGAGAGAGAGAGTGTGTGTGTGTGAGAGAGAGAAAGAGAGTGTGTGTGAGAGAGAGAGAGGGAGGGAGAGAGAGAGAGTGTGTGTGTGTGTGTGTGTGTGTGTGAGAGAGAGAGAG